AAGCAAGGTAGGCGATTCCTGATTATCTAATGTAGGTAGGCCCTGGGGTGGCCTAGTCTCAGTGGAATGGAGCAAAAGAATTGAACCTTGAAGCTATTTTCGTACCAAGCCCTAGGTTGTGTGTATGGAGAGGGGTGCTACTCTTTCTACCTTCCTCTCTACCTCTCCTCACACCTGAGCACAGTTTGTCTTCCTTGGTCTTCAGGGAGGATTTGGGGAGAAAACAGGATTCTAGATGAAGAAGACTCTTCATTTGATTAGCCATCTGAGGGGTGAAGGAACAGGGATAGTGGTGAATTAATTGCAGGAACCAGGATGGAATCCTTTGGACATTTCTCACTTCATGGCCACCCTGGCCACAGCAGGTGGAATTTGTTAAGCCCTGCCATTCAGGACCCCTGAATGGGGAGGTATGCCATCCCCTCCTCCAGCCTCAGGCTGTGGGAAAGCTCTTCTCCGAGCTACTGGTTGATTGCTCAGCCGGCCCCTTCTCCTGTTACCCCTAAGTGGACATCCAAAACTCAGAGCCAGGTTATTTATAGAAAAGATCAGAAGCAGTGGGAGGGAAGACTAATGTTTACAAACATGGGGTCACCTGAGTCGGAGAGGACCAGAGAGAGAGATGGGGTCTGGGGTAGGGGGTGGAGCTGCATCCTGGAATCCAAAGCCAGAGCTAGGAGTCTGATTTGAGCCCTCCAAAGGGAAGATTAGGAGGTTATAAAAGAAGGGAGGGGAGTGGGTACTGCTCAGATGCCGCAGCACGCGACCCCGAGTGAGGCCACATGCAAATTGTATGTAAATTAGCGAGCGCACCAGCGGAGACCTCTCGGCAAGTGGGGCATGGCGACTGGCCTGATGGTCTTGGGGGGGCCAGGTCAGGACCACCTAAGGGTGAGGCCAAGTCTCCCAAGTCCCTCCCACAACCCTGGCCCTGCTGGGAGCTGAGGAGGGTCCTGGGAAGAAGCCAGAGCGCACGGGGAGGGGAGTTGGGCCCCGGCTCCCCGCGCCCCCGTCGGTTGTTGGGGAAGTCAGGTGTCGGGTTACCGCCCAGGGGCTATAGTTAGCCCGGGAGACGCCGCGCAGCAATCCCGGCACCGCGCGGCGCCGCCCGGACCTCAGCCCCCCAGCCCTCCGTCCTGCCCTCTGCCACCGCAGCCGCCAGGTGGGTCCTCCGGCCCCGACCCCCGCTCCCGGTGGAGCCGTAACGCCATCGCACTCCACCGTCGCGGGGTGCGGGGTGGGAAGACGCCCCCAGGCAGGAGCTGTTGACACGGGGGGGGCGGGGGGGGGACGTTTGGCATTCCGGGGAGTGGATTCTAGGGGTGGAGCTGGGGGCGGTACAAAGACAAGGCCACGCCCACCCTAGGACCGCCCCCTCTCGGCCACGCCCACGCCCCCACCTGGGACAAGTCCTGGACCTGGGATCCCTCGCCGGAAAAGATCCAGGAACCCATCCAAGCCAGAACTCCACCGTTGTGGGTCTTTATCTGTATCCTGCCCAAGAATCCCCGAGGAGGAGGATGCTCGCGGCTCTGCTGGTCATCCTCAACCACCTCTGCCTCCATACCCTCTGGCAGGTAACTCCTAGAACCATCCCTCGCCACCAAGGGGCAGTTGAGGGACAGATCTTGAGGTGGACTGGTAGATGACTCCTTAAAATTCCCAGGGATCCTTCCCTCCTCTCGATCCTCTTCCTCTAAGGAATGTCCATCCCTGCAGGAACCAAGCTCCTATCCTCCCCCATCCTTCCCTCCTGCGCCTGCAGATCCCTATGTGAGCCTCCCTTCATTTCATTCCTCTCTAGGAATCTCCTCCGACTTTCTCCTCCCTACTTCTCATCTCCCACTATAGGCTTAACTCAGGCAAACCCCAATGTGTTTTCTGCTGTCCTGGCAGACCCTCCTTCACTAGAGCTTGATCTCCTCTCTCCCAGCCCTCCCAAGTTGGCTCTGAAGGCTTCTAAAGCAGGAGAGGACTCAGGAAGCTCAGAGCTGACAATTATTTGGCACTTGCAGGAGTTTCTGTAAAGAAAAGAGGAGGAGGATGGGGACCGGGTTGGGTATTGGACTGCATACTGGATCTTAGAGGAAGAAAACTGCTTAGCGTCATCTAGCCCCACTTCCCACTGAGAACAGGAACAGCTCTAATGACAAGATGGCCTCTTTTAGGTTGTGCAGAGCAATCTTTATGCTCCTCACAATAACCCTGTGAGGTTGGAAGTAACCTCAATTTATAGGTGGAGATCCTGAAGCCCAGAAAAGCCCAGACCTGAGACTTGCTCAAGATCTCACAGCTAGTAGGTGGTGTTTGAACCCATGTCTGTCTGACTCCAGTGCTTGTGTTATTTACGCCTGTTTGGGCCTTGCCATTTGTATACAGCAGATATTTGGGCATAGAAATGACATTCTGTGTTTCTGAAGTGATTTGCCTCTGAGACCCCTGTCCAGTGCTCTGAACTTATACTTTTCTTGAACTTGCTTTTTGTTAATATTACTTTTATTAGTGTATTTTAATTATATGTTAGTTTCATTATATTTCCATACATCTATAATGTATTTTGATAATATATGATCATATATGTATTATATATATATATATTTGTAGTCCCTCCCCCCCCATTGCCCTTTCTTATCTCCCTTCTGATTTTATACTCCTCCCTGTGTGGCTCCTTTTCCTCATGTCCACAGGTTCAGGCTGTTCCTATCCTGCCCTTGGGCCTGGCCCCAGATGCCTTTGATGATGCCTATTTAGGCTGCTCAGAGGAGATGGAAGAGAAGGCAGCCTCTCTGTTAAAGGAGGAGATGGCTCACCATGCCCTGCTCCAGGAATCCTGGGAGGCAGCACAGAAGGCTTGGGAACACCGGCGTCGAGGGCTCACTCTACCTGCTGGCTTCAAAGCCCAGCATGGAATAGCCGTTATGGTCTATACCAACTCATCCAACACCTTGTACTGGGAGCTGAACCAGGCTGTGCGGACGGGAGGTGGCTCCCGGGAGCTGTACATGAGGCATTTCCCCTTCAAGGCCTTGCATTTCTACCTGACCCGGGCCCTGCAGCTGCTGCGGGGCAGGGAAGGCTGCAGCAGGGAAGCTGGGGAGGTGGTATTCCGAGGCGTGGGCAGCCTTCGTTTTGAACCCAGCAGGCTGGGAGATTCTGTCCGCTTAGGCCAGTTTGCCTCCAGCTCCCTAGATGAGGCGGTGGCCCGCAGGTTTGGTAATGCCACCTTCTTCTCTCTAAGGACTTGTTTTGGGGCCCTTATCCAGCCCCTGTCTGTCTTCCCTGAGGAACGTGAGGTGCTGATTCCCCCCCATGAAATCTTCTTGGTCACTGGGTTCTCCCAGAATGGAACCCGGAGCCTAGTGTCTCTCTGGAGCCATAATCAGACCTGCAGCCACTTTAACTGCGCTTATTTGGGTGGTGAGTTATGCATGGGGGTTACACAGGGCTGGTGGGAATGGATGAGACAAGTCAGGTTGGCCCTGGAAGGCTCCCTAGAGACTTTAGGAGACCCCTTAGTGAACAGGACAAAAGTTCTGCCAAGTTTTGGGTTTCAAGGTCTGTGAATACCTCAGACGATTGTATGTGTTCTAAGGTTCAGTGCGTTAGACATCTAAGGCACACACAAAGGCAAGAGACAGGAGAGTTCCACTTCTTAGCTCAGGAGGCCCAGGCTTGCCAGGACATGAGTATGCTATTCCCAAGTGCTGAGGCAAGGACAGAATGGAGGAATGGCCAGTGGAGACGGATGGGCCATCTGGAAAGCCTTCCCGAGGGAGGAAGGCAGAAGGGAAACAAGAAGTTTACCTTTGGCTAAAGGGAGGACATCCTGAGAGGGGAAAGGCCCTGTGGAGGCCTGGCCTGGCAGAAGGACTTGTGCAGTCTGGGAGTCACCTCACCTGGTCTCTGTTGCAGGGAAGAAGAGGCGGGGCTGTGTGTCTTCGAGAGGTGAGCCACCTTCCTGCCCTCCCTTTGAGCTGCGCTCTCTCAGCTGCTGCTAACCCCTCAGTCTGCTGATCCCACCGCCTTTTCTTCTTTCTCTAACAGCAGGGCAGCCAGAGCCACCCTTTGAGGGGGCTTTCTCTCTGCACTCCTGGAAGACCCTACTCTTGGCCCCTGGGGGGTTCCAGCTCTCAGGAGCTGGGCCCTGAAAGTCCCAACACCTGCCACTTAGGGATCTTGGGAACTTGTGATTTTCCTGTGAAGAAGGGCAGCTTTGAACAGCCTCGTGAAGCAAGAGCATGGTCTTGGAGCCAGCCCTGGCTGCCACCTCCCCGGCCAGGTTGTGGGGAGACCTGAAACCTTGACAGGGCAACCCCATGATAAGGGGAGGACTTCGGCGAGGGAAGAACTGTGATGGCTACCCAATTAAATGGTGCTGTCATGTGGGGACATGGAACTTTATGACTTGTTTGTTCCACGATGCCCGTCACACCTCGTCATTGCAAACCCATGAATATGAAGGCAAGGAAGTAGGCAGATAGATTCCTCAGCCCTGTCTGTCTGATGAGGAATGCAAGGCCAGGGAAGCATGCACTTTACTCAGATCAGAGAGTGAATACTAAAGCCAGGTCTTTTGCTTCCCAGGTCTCCTGCTTCCCCAGGTCAAAACTCTCTTCACTAAAGATCTGAGAAATCGGGCTGGGAATGTGGCTCAGTGGTCGAGTGCTTCCCTAGCATGCATGAAGCCCTGGGTTCAATTCCTCAATACCACATACACAGAAAAAGCTGGAAGTAGCACTATGGCTTAAGTGGTAGAGCGCTAGCCTTGAGCATAAAGAAGCTCAGGGACAGTGCCCAGGCCCTGAGTTCAAGTCCCAGGACTGGCAAAAAAAAAAAAAAATCTGAGAAATCCAGTGTGAGATTCTAAGCCCAAAATACTGAAAGCTCCGGAGGAGGCTACTGCTCTCTGCCCTGCTCACACTGAGTCCATTTCAGGGGAAAATTGAAGAAGGACCCTAAAACCACAAGAGACAGGAATTCTCACCCACTCATCAGGTATCTAACATGCATATGAAGAGACTTTATTAAGCCAAGAGATCCCATAGAAGTTTCTACTGAGTGGCCCTCATTCCACCCAACCAAGCTGACTAGTGACAGAAGGGAACCTTCCATGGCATTAGGACCCCTCCTCGGTCTTCACATCCCCGGGGGAGGGCACATCCCAGAGCCCCTCTGCCTCTTGTTCTCTGTGCACCAATGCATGAACAGGGGAAGCAGGCAAGCACTCCCCAGTAGCTGGACTCCCAGCCTCTGTGGCAGCCTGAAGCCCAGGTTCTAAAGGGCTCTGTGTCCCCACCAGCCCTGGCACAGCCAGCTCCAGGGTCTCAGGGATTGAGGGGCCCAGGTTCTGGAAGCTGTTGCGCACTCGGGTGATGTAGCGGCTGAGGATGCTGGCACCATCCGGAGGCCGGGGTGCCCCTCCCGTCGCCAGCGTCCGCTGCACACCAGCCACCTCACTTTGGAGGCGAGATACAGTCTTCGTCAGCTCTGTGAGTCTGTTGCCCAGGTCTGGGGAGAAGAAGCATGGAGGGGAAGTCTTTCAGAAGTAGAGCCTGTTCAATATCTCTTTTCCCCCCACTCAATAGAACCCCAGAGACACCCTTTCTGGGGTCCTGAGGAAGGACTTGGAGAACTGAGGAGGTGACCTGGGCAGACAGACTCTGGAGTAGATGAGTCTGAGAAGCAGTGGGAAGGGACCACTTTAGGAGACGAAGAAGGCAAGACTTCTGGGCCAGAAAGGAGGGGAGAGAGGAGTCACAGGGACAGTTTTCAGTGGGTAGATGTGTACATCTAACCTCATTAGACCTCTCAGGCCCAGCCCAAATCCTACCTGCCTTTCTCGACTCTTCCCTTCCCCTGATGCTCACAAAATGACTCTTTTCTGTCCTTTGGGCTCCCACTGCAGTCTGTGTCTCAACTAAGCATTTTCTACTTACTAGGATGGTTTCTCATCACTCTGAAAACTTCTATGAAGCCCCCTCCCTCCAAACAAGGCCCAGAACAAGAAAGACACAGTGGTGAACCAGGGATTGCATGAATGGATAGGAGAAAAAAAATAACCATGTGAATGAAAGCAGGAGTGGGTGAGTGAATGAAAACACTAGAGCTGGGTACTGGTGGCTCACATCTGTAACCCTAGCTACTCAGGCTGAGATCTAAGGTTCAAAGCCAGCCCTGGCAGGGAAGTCTAGGAGATGCTTATCTCTAATTAGCCACCAGAAAACTGAAGTGGTGCTGTGGCTCAACATGGTAGAGCACTTACTTTGAATAAAAGACCTCAAGGACAGCACACGGTCCCTGAGGTCAAACCCTATGACTGACAAAAAGAAAAAGAAAAAATACTGGAACAAATACTGGCATGGGTCTAAGGGTAACAGGGCAAGGACCATAGGATGCAGGCCTATGGCTTCCAATAGTAGGGAAGAATGGGGCCATGCACAAACACAGCTGAATGAGAGGTGTGACGAGGTGTGGGAAGGCATGCAGTAGACAACTAACCTTTGCGACGGGTCTCCTCGAACTCACGTCTGGCAGTTTCTATGTAGCGCTGCACCAGGGCCTTGATGACACGAAGACGGTAGGATCCACGCTCACCCTTCCCGGGCCCTGCCCCTATCCCTGCCTCTGCCCCAGGGTTAGCCTGGAATGGAAAGACAGGAGAGTAAGAGATTCTGTATCCACAGCCTTCCTGTAATTACTGACCTGCCTCAGCAATAAAGGACCAAGGCAAAATCTGAGTAGATCTGCTGTCCCCAAAAGCCATACACCTAGCCCCTGGTCTACCTCCACCTCACAGTGAAGTCCTGAAAGGTAGAGGAAGGGAGACCCCAAAGTGGAGGAAGGGCTGACGGGGGCTGAAGTGAAGGTTGGGAGGGGAAGGAGAAAGGAAGAATCCCCCTGCAGCCCTAGAAGTAAGGTAATGCTGGGGGGAACTAGGAAGGGGCTCTCATGTAGAGCTGGGATGGGGATGGGTAGGGGACACGTGATGGGAGGTAAGTGAATGCTTCAAATGCCAGCCTTAACTCTGTGTGTGTGTGTGTGTGTGTGTGTGTGTGTGTGTGTGTGTGTGTGTGTGTGTGTGTGTGCATGCTAAAGCTTACACTCAGGGCCAGAGCACTCTCTCTTGGATTTTTTGCTCCAGTCTGGCCCTCTGCTTATAAGGTGGCCCTCTGTTTATAAGGTGGCATTGATATGTGTTTGAAAAGCATTCATTTTCACTGGAGTTTGGTGGCTCAGACCTGTAATCCTAGCTACTCAGGAGATTGAGAGCTGAGGATTAGAGCTCAAAGCTAGCCCAGGCAGGAAAGTCTGAGACTCTTATCTCCAATTAACCACCAGAAAACTAGAAGTGTCTTTGTGGCTCAAATAGTAGAGTACTAGCCTTGAGCAAAAGAACTCAGTGACAGTGCCAGGCCCTGAGTTCAAGCCCTATAACTGACACTAAAAAAAAACTGTAAGTGGTACTGTGACTCAAGCTTTGAGCAAAAGCAGCTCAGGGGTAGCACCTAGGTCCTGAGTTAAGCACCGGGACTGGTACAAAAAACATTCATTCACATTTTGGCCCAGTTTGTCTGGAGCATGGAGGGTATTTGCATTTTGGAAAGAGTGCTGCATGGACTTCTGTCCAGGCTGCGGGACAGGTTGGAAGTTCAGGGAAGAGGGAAACTGGGAAAATGGGAACTGGGAATGGTTTTCTGGGAACACACCTGGGAAGACATGTGCCCATACCTGCTATTCACAACCAGACCAGCCTAGGTAATACAGGTGAAGCCTTGTGTGAGGCAGACCCACAGCAAGCAGACGAGGTACTCACAAAGGTGGGGACTGGGGGATAGGCTGGCTTCTTAGTTTTGCAGCAGGAACAGCAACAGCAAATGATCTGGAAAATTCTCCTGAGAGATTTCAATGGTAGGAAAAGGTCAGTCAGGGGGCAAGGCCTGGAAATAGGGACATGGGCTGGGCAGTGTGCAGGGAGTTCGAGAGTGAGCTTAGAAGTCATCACCTGAGAAAGTAGAAGAAGGCCTTGGGAGAGGGCAGGATGTTGAAAGGCACAGGCAGGGTCAGACCCTCTCGGAAGTAGGATAAGTAGAGCTTGGAACGAGCAAACTTCCATTCCACATCAGCATCATCCTGGGGGCCAGGAGGCAGCGGCTGTGCAAGCTCCACACTGGCTCCAGGCCTCTTGCTCATCACTTCTCTCCCCAGTGCCCTCCTCTTCTATTCTCCAGTTGGCAAGCACCTCTCTCTCTCTCTCTCTCTCTCTCTCCCTCTTCCTCTCCCTCTCTCTCTTCTCCCTCTCCCCAACCCTCTCTCTCCTTGAATTACAGGCCTGAGTGCTGTCCCTGAGCTGCTTTTGCTCAAGACTAGTAGTCTACCACTTCAGCCACACTTCTACTTCTGTTTTTTTCTGTGATTACCTGAGCTGGCTTTGAACCGCAATCCTCAGATCTCAGCCTCTTGAGTAGCTAGCATCTGCCTTTTTTTTTTTTCTTTTTGGTGCCAGTACTGAGGCTTGAACTCAGGGCCTGAGTACTGTACCTAAGCTCAAGGCTAGCACTCTTACCACTAGAGTCACAGCACAACTTCGGTCTTTTCGGTGGTTAATTGGAGATAAGAGTCTTAGGGACTTTACTTCCTGCATTGGGTTCAAACCATTATCCTTAAGATATCAACTTCCTTGAGCTGGGAAGGTGGCTCAGTGGTAGAGCGCTTGCCTTGCATGCCTGAGGCCCTGGGTTCGATTCCTCAGCACCACATAAGCAAAAAGAAAAAAGCCGGAAGTGGTGCTGTGGCTCAAGTGGTAGAGCGCTAGCCTTGAGCTGAAGAGCTGAGGGACAGTGCCCAGGCCCAGAGTTCAGGCCCCACGACCGAGAAAAAAAAAAAAAAAAAGCCAGAAGTGGCACTGAGGCTCCAGTGGTGGAGTGCTAGCCTTGAGCAAAAGAAGCTCAGGGACTGTGCCCAGGCCCTATTCAAGCCCCATGACTGGCAAAAACAAAAAGATCTCAGCCTCCTAAGTAGCTAGACTTACATACATAGGCCACAGGCAAGCACCCTCCCACCTCACTCCCAACCCCAGTACAGGGGCTGGCTTGAGCTTTTTTTTTTTTTTTTTTTTTGCTAGTCCTGGGGCTTGAACTCAGGGCCTGAGCACTGTCCCTGGACTTCTTTTTGCCCAAGGCTAGCACTCTATCACTTGAGCCACAGGGCCACTTCTGGCATCTTCTGTTTATGTGGTATTGAGGAATCGAACCCAGGGCTTCGTGCATGCTAGGTAACCACTCTACCACTAGGCCACGTTCCCAGCCCTGGCTTTGAGCTCTTACTTGGTTTTTCTACTCAAGGCTAACACTTTACTACAGGAACCACACCTCTACTTCTGGGTTTTCAGTAGTTAACTGGAGATAAGAATTTCCTAGGCTTTCTTACCCAGGCTGGCTTTAAACCACAATCTTCAGATCTCAGCCTCCTGAGTAGTTAGAATTATAAGCATGGACCACTGGTGGCCAGTCTCTTCTCATTCCTGTCTTCATTGTCAACTATCACCCACATTTCCCCTGCCTGTCTCTTCATTTCCTGCATTCCCCCACTCTCATCACCCTCCTACCTTCCCATTCGCACCCAGCCTCTTCTCCAGACTGCAGCTCAACCCACCCACTTCCCCTCCTCCTTCTCATGTTCTCTTCTACTTTGCCATAGTACACTCTCCCACACATCTGTGTCACCCCAAAAAGAGAAAAAGTACTAAACTTGGTATCTGGAGATACTAGCAGTATTAATAAGACCTTCTGTTTTGGTTTTTTGGACATAGCCTTGAACTCATGTTACTCCTGCCTCACCGCTTTGTATGTATGTGTGTATGTGTGCTAGTCCTGGGGCTTGAATACAGGGCCTGGGCATTGTCCTGCATCTTTTTGCTCAAGGCTAGTGATCTACCACTTTGAGCTCTACTTCCAGTTTTCTGGTGCTTAATTATAGACTTTTCTGCCTGGGTTGACTGAATCAAGATACTCAGATCTCAGTCTTAGTAGTTAGGATTACAGATGTGAGCCACCCATACAAAACAGTACTTTACTCTACCCTACCCTTCAGTGCTAGGATTACAGGCTTAAAAGTAAAACCCTCACTAACCTAAGAGAATTTGTCCAAAGCCATAAAACAAAACAATAGTAGAAAGAGCAGGAACTCAAGTGTCTTGACTCCTTACAACGAATTCCTCTCCCTTCCTCCATGCCTCCCCTCCCACCCCCCATTAAGCTAGCGTCCGTTCACATACCTCAATCTTCTGAAAGGAGTTGGTGATCATGGCAATGAGCATGTTGAGCAGCACAATGACCATGACAATGGTGAAGATGCCATAGAGGGCTCGGCCCACAAATTCAGGTACCAGAAATTGAGGCATGTCCACCACACTGTGTTCCTCCATGCCAAACATGGTCCAGAACAGAAACTGGAATGTCTCGTTGAAACTAGCACACCAGGCCAGAGAAATGATGGGAAAATCTGGGAGTGAGAGATCTGAGCCCCCCCCCAACACACTCTTCCTCCCATACCAGAACAAGACACAGGTGTTCTATGTCATGAAGCCCTCTGGACTAAGGTTAGCCATCCAGATGCTTGCCATTTCTGAGCTTCAACCTTTATTTTTTTCACATTTACAAATATTAAATTTATTATTACTAGAATTTATTGGTTCTCAGATTTGGCCACCTTATAGCTCAGTTTGAGGGTCAACCTTTATTCTTCTGATCAAAGATACCTGAGGCTGGCCCCAAGCAAAAAGCAAAACCCTACCTCAAAACTAATTAAAGCAACCAGGTGCTAGTGATGCCTGCCTATAATCCTAACAACACAGGAGACTAAGATCTGAAGATTGTGGTTTGAAACCAGCCTGGGCCAAGGAATCTTTAGGACTCTTTTTTTTTTTTTTTTTGGGTCCAGTCGTGGGGCCTGAACTCTGGGCCTGAGCGCTGTCCCTCAGCTCTTCAGCTCAAGGCTGCGCTCTACCACTTGAGCCACAGCACCACTTCCGGCTTTTTTTCTTTTTTCTTTTGTGGTGCTGAGGAATCGAACCCAGGGCCTCCTGCATGCAAGGCAAGCACTCTACCACTGAGCCACCTTCCCAGCCCTCTTTAGGACTCTTATCTCTAATTAACCAGCAAAAAAGTAGAACTTTTTGTGTGTGTTCACTCATGGTACCAGCCTTGAAGGAAAAAGACAAACAAGAGTGTTAAGCCCAGAGCTCAAACTGTTCAAAAATAAAAAACAAAAAGCAAAAACCACCTAAATCATAAGGGATGGGGGTATGGCTTAAGTGGGAGAGAACCAGCTAGCAAGTAGGAGGCCCTGAGTTTAAACTCTAGTACTGTCAAAAAGAAAAAAAAAAAGCTGGGTGCCAGTGGCTCCTGCCACTGCTACCTACTCAGAAGCTGAGATCTGAGAATTGCATTTCGAAGCTAGGCCCAGCAAGAAAGTCCATGAGACTCTTATCTACAATAAACTACAAAAAAAAATTTCCTGAAATGGAGATCAAGCTCAAGTGGTAGAGCAATAACCTTAAGTGAAAAAGCTCAGGGATAGTGCCCAGGCCATGAGTTCAAGCCTCAGAACCAGCACACACACAACAAAATATAAACCCAACGGTCCTTACTGGGCTGGGTGGGTAGATGACAAGGATGTGGTACAGAGCATATCAATAACCCCAGGACTCCTTCTTCCAGGAAGCCCTTCCTGATCTCCTGTCCCTGCTCTCAGAAGAATGTGTTTTTCCACTAGTCACTCAAAGGCCTGGTCAGAGGTCCTCCTGTTCTATTTATTTGTGAATCTGTCTTATGCTGTCTGTGTCAGCACCAGTTCAGGCACAGATTGCAACTTGTTTTCCCATTATTCCAATTGCACTAATGTATCTTTTCTAAATGCTAATCTGACCTAATCTGTTTTACTTCTTCAACCGTTAAATGTTCCTGGCTATCCTGACCTATACACCTACTACATCTTATCTGAGGTTCTCAGCAAAAGTACTTTCATTTTTTTAAAGTACCAAGGTTTGAACTCAGGGCCTTCTACTTACTAGGCAGGCACTCTGCCACTTGAGCCACACTTTCAACCCTTAAGGAAACATTCTAAACTATTTACAGGTGAAGTGTCATATTATATAAAAATTTTTAAATGGTTCAGGGGGAAAGACGGAATAAAGAAAAAGAATAGAGCAAGCAGATATGGCAAACAGAAACGATTGGGGGAAGCTAGATAGAGGTATTTAATTAATTTTTAATTTTTCATAGGCTTGACATTTTTTCAAATAAAAAGGTAGAGGAGGAGATGAATGAATGAACAAATGAATGACTGACAGAGTGAATCAATGTGGGAATAAGAAACCTGAGTGGCCTGGTACCAGAGGCTCATAGCTGTAATTCTAACAACTTTGGAAGTTGAGATTGGGAGGATAGTTCTTGAGCAGGGGAGTTCACAAGACCTCCTTCTCAAGTATTAGCTAGACATAGTGACTTACAACTATAGGCTACCTACACAGGAGGCTAAGATCCAGAAGATCAACATTTCAGACCAGCAGAACAGTTCGTGAGATTTTATCACAGTGGAAGAAGGTGAGTGTGATGGTACACACCAGTCTAAGGTAGGAAGCAGAAAATGGAGGACTGAGGTCCAGGTACATGCCAGGCAGGAATTGAGGCCCTACATCAAAAAATAGCCAGTGCTCCAGGCGCCGGTGACTCATGCCTATAATCCTAGCTACTCAGGAGGCTGAAATCTGAGGATCAAGGTTCAAAGCCAGCCTGGACAAGAAAGTCCCTGAGACTCTTATCTCCAATAAACCACTAGAAAACCAGAAGTGGTGCTGAGGCTCAAGTGGTAGAGTGCTTGCCTTGAGCTGAAGAGCTGAGGGACAGCGCCCAGGCCCAGAGTTCAAGCCCCACAACTGACAGAAAAAAAAAATAGCCAGTGCACAAAAGGGCTAGAGGCATGACTCAAGTGGCAGTTTCTGCCTAGCAAGTACGAGGCCCTAGTACTGCCAAAGAAGAAAAAGAAAGAAAGAAAAATGAAAAAATGTATACAAATGAGGGAAGGAGAAAGAAGAGTCAAGTTGCAAGATTCCATTGCCCTACTTGCCCCTGCCCTTGCCCCCGCCCCCGCCCCGCCCCCGCCCCGCCCCGCCCCCGCCCCACCCCCGCCCCCGCCCCGCCCCCGCCCCGCCCCCGCCCCGCCCCCGCCCCTGCCCCTTGCCCCATCATACTTGCCCAGTCGCTCTGTCTCCTGGTAAGGCACATAGATGTTGTTGAGGCCACAGAGGAAGGCAGTCAGGATGATCATGAGGATGAACATGAACCTGGCAAGGGGTGGGACATAGGAGAGTCCAAGATCTCCCCTTTAAGAGAAATCAGGCTCTTGGAACAGGGGTGGGGGTAATGACCTTCCTAGCTCTTTATCTGACAGCTATTCATTTTGATTGTTAATGAAAGCAAGGAATTTGGGAGAAAGAAACTAGGGATTTGAGTTAAGTGCCAAAACAGAAGGTCTCCCTTGAGAATAATGGGTACTGAATCTAGGCAATGAAAACTGGGTATGAACTAGTCTCTTAGGAAGGGATTGAGATGCTGAGATCCCACAATATGGCCAGTAGTCAGAGACTCCGACTGGATAGCAGTTATCACCCAAACAGTTAGAGGCAAATGTGAGAATGAGTTAGCTTGCTGCAGAGAAGGCAAGGATCCGAAGGTGAGGTACAAGGTTCTCCTCCTAAACCTGTGCACACATGTAACTAGTTCATTTCTCACCAATAGCACCCACTCTGGTCTTGCCTCAGATATTAACCCTGGGCTCTGATTAGGGTGAGAGGCCAAGTTTAGCTGTACATGACTTATCTATCCAAAGAGAGGGGAAGCTGAGGCCCAGAGAAGGGTCGCAGAGATAGTAACAGTACCAAGATCAGAATGTGAACCAATGGCTGGGTACCAGTGGCTCACATGTGGAATCCTAGTTTTTCAAGAGACCAAGTTCTGAACATCGTGGTTCAAAGTCATCCTGAGCAGGAAAGTCCATGAGACCCTTTAATTAACCACCAAAAAGCCAGAAGTGGAACTGTGGTAGAGGGCAAGCCTTATGCAAACAAGCTCAGGGACAGTGGCCAGGCCCTGAGTTCAAGCCTCAGGACCAGCACGCACACACATACACAGATATCAAGCAGGCTGGGATATAGCTCAGTGGCAAAGAGCTTGCCTAGCAAGTATAGTGTCCTAGGTTTCACCCCCCGTATTAAAAAGAAAATTTTAAAAAGTATGTTAAGCAATGGACTTTACTGCTCTTGTGGTTTGTAGTATCTTGGGGTGATGGGCCTCTTTGAGAATTAAGTGACCATTATAGTCCCTCCCAGCAGAGAAATGCTTTACATTTACACTCCAAATTTTGCCTGTTATTTCCCCAGGTCTCAGAAGCTTCTGTCCCTAGAGTAACAACACAGATGAATGCCGGGGCTACCCCAGAGCTGGGGAATTTCAGAAGGAGGTCCTGTGGAACCCCTCTGGAAGGAGAGGACTCCGAGCTGGGGAAGTACACACCGGATCATGTCGTCGATCATCCTGCCAATGGAAATCTGCAGAGTGCCCAGCGACTCGTGGGCTGGCAGGATGTAGGCCAGGCGGGTGAAGCTGAGCATGCTGGTGACCGCGAAGAGCACCTCGGCCAAGAACTGGGGATCTTCTGTGCGCCACTCGCTTCGCTCTGTGCAAGGTGAGATGGCGGCAGTGTCCGAGAACCAAGGAAGGAGAGAGCCTGAGGAATTTAGGGCTGAGCTGGGGCCGGGGGGCGGTGTTACTCACCAGCAGTGCTGAAATAGTGACAGGCAGGGCCATCAGAGGCATCCTGGCAGTGCATGAAGGCCAGCCCTGCCAGGAGGATGCGCAGCGCGAAGGCTGCCAGGTACAGAGACAGGATGACAACATCCAGGAAGTTCCACCAGTCCAGCAGGTAGCTCCGCAGGCCCTCGATCCACACTTCCTTACACTCAAACCACAGGAAGCCTGGAGGGGTGGCAGAGGCCAGGATAGGAGGGGGCAGAGCTCTCTCCTTCCAGATCAGAGCCACAGTATGGTGAAGGGGATCCTCTGCTGGGGGTTAGGATGCTAAGATATCACTTCATCTATCTGGGAGCAACATGATCTTATCTGACAGCAAGGACCCATCTCTGGTGTACACTCAGTTGGTAACAGCTGCACCAAGGGCCACAAGCAGCTGATGCTCAGAAAGTGACAAGCTCCCGGGAAGAGGCCACACTGGGAAAGAACAATTTACATCTATTCCCTGCCTTCCACCAAATAAGTACTAGGCAAATATTTAAAGTCTTACCTAAATAAAGGAGGTTTCCCCTTACAAGTTTGCAAGTCTTTTCTTTCCCCACACATAGGCAAAGGAAGAACTGTTGGTTTCATTTGAGCTCATCACAGGTCATCAACAAATCAATTCCCTTTTGGGATGCTTTTGTTTCTCCTTTCCTTCTTTCTCTTTTTTTTTCTTTTTTTGTCGGTTGTGGGGTTTGAACTCTGGGCCTGGGCGCTGTCCCTGCGCTCTTCAGCTCAAGGCGAGCGCTCTACCACTTGAGCCACAGCGCCACTTCCAGTTTTCTAGTGGTTTATTGGAGATAAGAGTCTCACGGACTTTCCTGCCCAGGCTGGCTTTGAACTGATATCCTCAGATCTCAGCCTCCTGTAGCTAGGATTATAGGCGTGAGCCACCAGCTTCTCTTCTTTCTCTCTTTTGTGTCAGTACTAGGGCTTGAACTCAGGGACTGGGCACTGTCCCTGAGCTTTTTTGCTCAAGGCAAGAACTCTACCACATGAGCTACAGCTCCACTTCTGCCTTTTTGTGAGTCAACTGGAGATAAATCTCATAGACTTTCCTGCATGGGCTGGTTTGTAACTGATATCCTCAGATCTCAGGCTCTTGAGTAGCTAGGATTACAGGTGTGAGCCACCAGTGCCTAGCTTGGATGGCTGTCTTATTTGTGAGAGGATGAGAATCCTCAGAGTTGGTAGTATCTGGTTCTATTTGCTGTAGAACCTGAACAAAAGGAGTATTTCCACTCTTTGTGCCTGAGGATTGTTGCTCAGGAGTCTGCCACAGGACTGAATCCCCTGATGAGAAGTGAAGGCAAAGTGTCCCTCCTGACAGAGCCTAGGGAAGTCTGGTTGGATCCTCAGGGGCATCTACACACGCAGGGCCTCTCCAATGAGATGCTTGCCTATCAAGGACAATGAGGAGGGCCCTGAAAGACAGATGTCACAAATAAACGATCCCACCCGTGTACCTGCAACCCAAATCATGTGTAGTGAAGTCTCCCAGACACTCTGGCTGCGGCCTTGGAAGGTGCTCAGCTGTGTCTCCATGGCCAGGGACTCTCCCAGCAGGAAGATGAGGAACCACAGGTAGGAGGCTGAGTGCAGCAGGAACTTCAGCACCGGGATCTTTAGCAGGCGACCCAGCTTTGGGGGAAGAGGAAGTCCTGGTTCCTCCCTGGAAGGGTGTCTTGCTGCCCTGCTCTGACCATGTATGACTGCTCTTCTCGGTGTCACCCACTCACGGATCCAGACACTAATCAAGAATGTCCTGTAGGTCGGGCCCTGCACTTTCATCTGTTGTCACCTTCACAACCACACAAAGCAAGCATTATTTTCATCTAGATTACGGGAATGGAGGGATACAGAGGTAAAGTAACTTCCCTGTGTGTTGTCCCATGGACTCTTCAAACTCAACCAAGGTAAAGGTTGATCCAGCTTGTTCCTCCTAGCAGATAACATGAACAGTCACCCCGTTCTCTCATGGGTGACAGTTTATGTAATTCCTGTCCCTTGTCTACAATTTGCCTTCGCGCAAGGAGGGAGCTTTCCCAAGCACAGAGTTCATGGTTTCCTTATTTCCTTAACCCAACATCGGCCTCCGTTCTAACGCAGCTTATCTCCAAGACTCTGGGAGAGCTGCCCTTGTCCCCCTGACTGCTCACTATACTGGTATGGCTGCTTTGGCAGCAGTGCATTTCTTTCTTTTGCTTTCTCTGATGTGGTACATTCTCCCTCCCTTGGGCCTTGCCCTGTGCCTTTCTATTCCTGATTCCCTGGCATTCCCTTCCTTATCTCTCCTGCTTGACAGGTCTGTTCATTATATCCCAGGACCCGGGCCTGTGCTTTGCTTGCAGCAGCATCTCAAGGAAATCTTGATTTGGGTGGCACTCTCTTTAGGAGAAGTTAGGGCTTTAAGGGATCCAGCCTTTGAAGGCAGTGAGATCAGGAGCAGCACTCAATCCTGACTGCTATTTACTGTGTACTCTGGACAAAGAGTACTTGCATTCCACCTGTTTCAACATTCCTTCTCTGCACAGAACTTTCCAGAGCTTCCTCAAGCTACTGGGTGGGAACATTGACAAAGCATGCAGCCCAAGGAGGGCCTGACATAAACCAAGTGTTCCACAAATAAATGATCAAGAATCTTATTTGTAGTACCCGAGACTTGGGTGCCAGCCAGTAGCCAATGCAGAGGAAGGGCATGGTGAGGAAGATGAGGAAAGCGATGAACAGCTTCCAGATGGTGGTGCTTCCACGCCAGCCAGCCAGGTTCCCACACCAGATGGAGGACAGGACTTGCTGGCAGATAGGATGTGCTACGAACTAAGCAAAGATGAGGTATAGAAGGGGGGTAGAGGGGGTGCCAGGCAGGGAAGAAGAGGAAACCAGTTGGCAGCAGAGACAATTAGCTACCACAGATTAAACCATCTTCTTTGTGTGTGTGTGTGTGTCATGGGGCTTGAACTCTTGGCCTGGGCACTGTCCCTCAGCTCTTCAGCTTGTGGCTAGTATTGTACCACTTGAGCCACAGCACCACTTCTGGTTTTCTGGTGGTTTATTGGAGGTAAGAGTCTCACAGACTTTCCTGCCAGGGCTGGCTTTGAACTGTGATCCTCAGATCTCAGCCTCCTGAGTAGCTAGGATTACAGGCGTGAGCCACTGGCACCCAGCTTAAACCATCTTTTTTGATGAGACAGGTTCATGCTTCATAGCCCAGGCCAGTCTCGAACTCATGATCTTCCTGCTTCAACCTTCTGAGTGTTGGAATTAAAAGTATGTACCACCATGCCTGGCTATCATCTTTTTCTCCCCACACAAACCAACCTAGAAGAGGACCTTTATTTGCCATGTGACCAGGAGTAGCTCCAGCTTACTCTAGGTCTTATCTGTGAAGGAGAAGGCTGAAATTTGAAGGTTTTCCTGGGCGGTCTGGATTTCACATTCATTTTTGTATGTGCAGGTTCTGGGGCTTGAATTCTGGGCCTGGGCGCTATTTTGTGTGTGTATGTGTGTGTGTGTGTGTGTGCTGTCTTTGAGCTCTTCAGCTCAAGGCTAGCGCTCCACCACTTAAGCCACAGTGCCACTTCCGGTTTTCTGAGTGGTTTATTGGAGGTAAGAGTTTCATGGACTTTCTTGCCTGGGCTGGCTTTGGACCGTGATCCTCCAATCTTGTTGTGGGGAGTATAGTACTAAACTCCAGCAACAAAGAAGACTGAGCCAATCTGGTAGGCCAGAAGCAAGCAAGGCTGAGTCTAGTAAGACTCAGGTGGGATCCTAGTTGGGAGATGGTCTCCCAAGGCCAGTGAGGGGCTAGGGCTTAGGTATATGTGTGGCTAGGGCGGGATAGGAACTTCTCTTCTTGTCTTCAAAGGTTTAAGACAGAAGAGTGCTCAGGAAGCTGGGCACTGGTGGCTCTCACCTGTAATCCTAGCTACTCAGAAGGCTGAGATCTGAGAATCAGGGTTCAAAGCCAGCCCTGGCAGGAAAGTCCGTGAGACTCTTATCTCCAATAAACCACCAGTGCTAGGCTTGAGCTGAAGGATAGCGCTCAGGCCCAGAGTTCAAGACCCATGACTGACCAAAAAAAGAAAAAAAAAAAAGAAGAGTGCTCAGGACTGAGGTATGCTAAAGGCAGGAAAAGAAGTTGCTCAGAGGTGGCAGGGCAAGGGATAGGGCAGAGAGGAGGCACTGGAGGCCCAGCTGACCCGCTTCTGGTTGTAGTTCACAGCCAGCCGTAGCCTTGCCAGGTTGGGGATGCCTTCCTCAAAGGCCTGGGCCAGGCCCTCAGCCTCAGGCTCTGTCTCGCTGTCCTCTCCCATGTCATTGAGCACTGCAGTGACCTCGCTCTGGTTGCGGCACATGCCCAGTAGCTCAAAGCCGTAGTCCTGACTCAGCGACTCCAGGGCGATGTACTCAGGCTGTAGGGAAGGAAGTGTGTGTACCAGCCATGCTGTGGCCTCAGCCCCATTCAATGAACCAAACCTGCCCCTTCCCGAACAGTGGGTCTGGGCCATGTCTGTCCTGCCCCCAGGCCATCACTTTCTGTACCCAGTGTCACCAGGTCATTGATTTCTTTCTTCTCTGCTACCTCATCAACCCTTCTTGCTTCTTATCTCCTTTGCCTATCTGGTGTTGTTTCTGCCTTATTTACTCCACCCAAACCCTGCTACCTTTGCCTGCTCCTTGGACTTTCTATTTCTAGACCTGTTTCCCATCCTACTTTAACTCCTACTCTTTGATGTGTACCTTTCATGTGCTCATTGCGTTATTTACTTTGTGTGTGTGTGAGTGAATCATGGAGCTTGAATTCAGGGCTTGGGCACTGTCCCTGAGCTTTTTCACTCAAGGCTTTTGCACTTTGAGCCACAGCTCCACTTCCAGCATTCTGGTGGTTAACTGAAAATAAGAGTCTCATGTACTTTTCTCCCTCGGCTGGTTTTGAACTGTGATCCTCAGATCTTAGCCCCTCCTGAGTATCAGCTAGGATGACAGGTGTGACTCACCAGTGCTCAGCTTATTTTATTTTTGAGCATCTATATAATAAGAAAATCTGTCCTGGCAGTTTCAAGAGATACATACTACCCATTCTTCTTTTTTTTTGTCGGTCATGGGGCTTGAACTCTGGGCTTGGGCACTGTCCCTCAGCTCTTCAGCTCAAGGCGAGCGCTCTACCACTTGAGCTGCAGTGCTACTTCTGGTTTTCTAGTGGTTTTTTGGAGATAGGAGTCTCACGGTCTTTCCTGCTCGGGCTGGCTTTGAACCGCAATTCTCAGATCTCAGCCTCCTGCGTAGCTAGGATTACAGGCGTGAGCCACCGGCACCCATACTACCCATTCTATCCTCTGTTTTACTTTGGGCCCTTCTCCCTTTCATTCTCTCCCTCCAGATTTCATTGTGTAGCACATGCTGGCTACAAACTATTTTTTTTTGGTCCAGTCGTGGGGCCTGAACTCTGCGCTTAGGTGCTGTCCCTCAGCTCTTCAGCTCAAGGCTAGCGCTCTACCACTTGAGCCACAGCACCACTTCTGGCTTTTTTCTTTTTGCTTATGTGGTGCTGAGGAATCGAACCCAGGGCCTCATGTACGCAAGGCAAGCGCTCTACCACTGAGCCATCTTCCCAGCTCAAACTAATTTTTTTGTGTGTGCCAGTGCTGTGGCTTGAAGTCAGTGCCTTTTACTCTTACTCTGGAGTCCTGGCTCCAGTTCCAGCCTTATGCTGGTTAATTAAGTAAGAGTTTCTTGGATTTGTCTGCCAAAGGGTTGGCTTTGAACGGAGATCTTTTGTTCACAGCCTCCTTAGTAGCTAGGATTATAGGAATGTGCCATCTGAGCTCAGCTGACCTTCAATTCTTCCACTGTCCTACCTCTACTACCTCCAGTGTCCCAAACTAGGATTATAGGTGTTCACTACCATTCCCTGCCAATAAAGTGGGGATGAGAATTCTTGTCCCTTACCTACCTATTCCTCCTTCCCTCTCTTCCCCTTCCTCTCCCTTCTTCCTTCCCTGTGCTGCATGAGAGCAGAGGGAAAGCCTGTTGGCAAGGACTGACTTTTCCTGCTAGCTGTGCAGGGGAAGTTTTCATCCTCCTGCTTTTCCACGACTCCCAGCCAGGGGTGCAGGTGAAGGCAGCAGAGGTCACATCCTGCCTTAGACATTTCTCTCATAGGTTCTCTACCTAATGACAACTTCTAGGACAAAGATCAGGTGTGGCTTGGCCCACAAGGGATACAAGTGGGTGAGTGATGGACCAATTGTGCTGATGCAACTCAAGGCCTGGCCCTGCCTCCAGGCTCTGCTTCCCAAGTCTCAGTCCTACATGGGTGCTTCCTGTGCTCGCCACTGCATATCCATCTGCTACCCCAGCCTTTGCTGGAACTACAGCCCCGCCTCGAATGTCCTCTCTGTTCCTCTTTACTGCCATGAAACCACTCCCTCCCACAGCTAGGCTTAATGTTGCCTCCTCCAGGATGTCTTCACCGAACACAGCAGATGTGGGAAGTTGATTCTGTTTTCTGGGCTTTGAAAGGCCTATGAACACTATCCATAGGAGCACTGAATGAAGTCTTGGGAATGACCTGTTCCTACTCTTGGTCTGTGATCACAGATGGTGGGCTCCAGCATGCACAGCGCCCCAGGTGGAAACATACAGCTTCTGAAAGGTTGGTGTCTAAGTCTGTCCAGCTGGTTTTCTGTTTCTGACTCCTCTGCTTCCCCAGATAGACTCAGGGCATGCCCAGGGTAGGCATTGTAACCCTGCACTGACTAGATGCCCTTATAGTGTCTGCTCATTGCAATTAGAGTAGGTCTCTGCTATTTGGGGTGGGGTTGTGATGTCGCACACGAGACATTTCCTGAGACAAGAGAGGCTTCTCAGCTTTCGAGAACACCCCTACCTCAGTAGAAGATACCAGGCCCTGAAGGTAGAGGGAATAGGAGAGAGACCCACCTTAAACTCCGGCTCCTTGCGTGCCAGGCGCCTGAGCTCCCGGCTGAGCTGGAAGGCAGCCAGCATGGCATCCTCACTGGCCAGCGACAGGTGGGCCCTGCTGGCAATGCCACGGTAGGTGTTGATGCGGGACAGGGAGAATTTGAGCAGGTCATAGCGGCGGGCATTGCTGCACTCGAGGCAGGCACAAGAGATGGGGTGGGGCCGGGCAATGGTGTGGCCCTGGTCCATGAGCAGCTGTGCAATCTCATACAGGTCTTTCTGGCAGGCCAGGGTGAGTGGTGTGACACCAGGGGCAAAGCGGGAGCCATCGATCGAGGAGTCAAAGAAAGCCAGAGAGAAAGACTTCGTGTCGACTTTGCGACCCTTCTCCCGTTCTAGCCGGGCCAGCAGGCGCCGCACCACTGCAGGCTGGTTTGTGTCCACTGCCACCAGCAGGGCTTCGTGGATCTGCCTGAAGTCAAACTTGATATTGGCCAGCAGCACATCGGTGATGGCCTCGTGGCCCAGGCGGATGGCCAGGTTCAGGGCTTCTCTCCAGGAGCGGTCCTCGGCCTCTTCCACATTCCGCAGGGGTCCCCCTGGCCCCCCACCTGTGGCCTCTACCCCTGACTCCAGAAGCTGCTGCACAAGACCCAGACGCCCCTCCTGGATTGCTCCCAGGAGTTGGGGGGGAAACTTGAGCTTCTTGTTCACGATCTCTGTCCAGTTGGGTTGTGGCTGGATGGAGGGGAGAGGGCAGAAACCTGAGTTTCTAACCTGCTTTGTTTGGGGGCCTCCTTTACTCTTCACCTTCTAGCCCTTAATCCTCTACACCAGCCACCATTATGTTCTTCCTTGTCCCAAACACATGCTGCCCAGGATTGTCTGCTTTACCATTTTATTGTGTAGGTTCTCATCAGAAAAGTGCCAGACGGGGTCTGATGGGGGCCTCGTCCTCAGCTCAACTTCTATCCTTGCGCAGTGGGGCCAAATGTGAAGACCCCAAGAAAGGGGTTAAAGAAGATGGACAGGAGGGGTGGGGGTGGGAGGTGCTACACTGGGAACCCAACCCCACAGGAAGGCCTCAGGATCATCCAGGGCCCAGCTCCCCTCTTGTTGACTTCATCTTCCAGCTGCTCACTCTGTGGGTTCCAGAGCCTATTCAGGGCAGGTCCAGACATGTCCACACAGGAGGGTCTTTGAACTGAGCTTGCCCCCAAACCCACAGCTTTGAACAGGACTCCTTGTGTCCCTCTTCTACCAGGCCTGGCCCCATCCCCTGGCTTCTCTTGTGGGGTAGACAAGAGCTCCCGGGTTCTCCTACCCACAGTTACACCCACCCTTTGCCTGGCTGCTTGGGTGTCCCTGTCCCTACTTTTTTCCAATAGTTTGGTTCCCAGCTAGAAAGAGGATTGAGATAGAGGTAAGTAGGGGAGCAAGGGCCTCTTACCGGAGGGGGGTCCATGGTGGCACCCACTTCTGTAGGCAGGACTGGAGATCTGGACTCCTGATGTCTGCTCCCTTGACTGCACCCAGCATCCTGTTCCTACCTGCTCAAAACCCCGCCCTGCGCCCTCCCTTTGCCAGGACCAGCTGCTCCCCCCTGCCCTAAACCTTGGGGAGCTGGAGTGCCATAGTGAAATCCTCTGGGGAAGGGGAGACAGTTTACAGTTGCTCACAGAAGGCAGGAACAGAATTTGGAGTATTGTAGCTCTGGGGAACCAAGATGGGAATGGGGTGCATCCAAGCCCCAAGCCAAGCCCAGGCCCATTCTGTATCATTAACACTCTGTGAATGCATGGGTTAAGGGATTTTTCTCTCAGCTACCTAGAATTAACTCTGGACGCCCAAGATATAACTCACTAAAGGCACATGACAGTACTGTTACCTAGTTATGCCTAGGACAGTAAGGAAGGGTACAACAGAAAGTGAAGTTCATAGGATGCTAGATGTCAAGCCCACACTCAAAAAACCATTCTCAGCTTCCTGCAACATTACAGGATCTTTTCCGTCATACGACTAGTAAGGCTTGACTCAGGGCCTCAGGCTCTTGCTTGTTCACTCAAAGCTGGCACTCTTAACTACCTAAGCATGGTACCTCAACCTGATTTTTGGCTGGTTAAGTGGAATTGGAAGTCTCAAAGACTTTTCTGCCCAAGCTGGCTTCAAATTCTGATCCTCAAATCTCAGCCTCTGAGTAGCTAGGATTATAAACACAAGTAACCAGTATCCAGTTAGTATTTTTCTTTTGAATGAGCCTCAGTTTTCCTTTAGAAAAATGAGTGTAAGGATGTGTATCATTCACTCAGGAAATATGTTCCAGATGGTGTCTCGAGGTACTAGACAGATCATCAGTTCTACTCCAGAAGTTCCAAGTGGGGAGAAGGACAGAGCTGTCTTCAGGAGAACTGGGTGCCATGGTGATAAAGTCTTGACAACTGGGAATTGGGAATCCAGAGATGCCTGCAAACAGGCAGTCTTGAGGGAATACGAAGCGTGGCATCAATAGCCTTGGGCCATGAAGAAATCTACTCCCGTCTTTGTCACTGGGGGTGGTGAGGCAAAGCCCTAGGATCACATTGGCTCATGTCCAGAGAAGGTCCCCACATGTGCTGGCATGTTCTTCAATCTCTCCTGCTGAGAACTGCAAGTGGCAGAGAGGGCACTGGACCCAGGAAGTGCGTGGTGAACTCTCTGGGGATGATACCCACTGTACAGATGGGGATGAAGAGGGTGAAGAGGAAGGAGAAGCTGGCCAAGGCAGGGAGGTCTCTCCACATGTGGCGGCGTGCTGAGGAAGAATCTCCATGCTGAAGGAGCCTAAGGGGGAGAGAAAGAGGTGAACAGTATTGGGCTTGCTCCTGGTAGGATGCCACCCCAGGACACGTGAGGACAGCATCTGCTGCCCATATGCAGCTGCCCTTGCAGGAAATTTCCCTGGCTGTTTTACACCTGAGACACGATCACATACCATCAAACATTTCCTAAGTATTTACTGTGTGCCTGGCAGTATGCCAGGAGCTGAGGGATAGGGAGGTCCTCATGGAACAGTCCAGTGGGAAAAGGGAGCTGGGAGCATACAGAACATGGATATAGGCAGAACTGAGACACGCTGAGTCCAAAGGAATCTGAGAATGGCACAGGAACTGACTTGGGAGAGATTACTTGGGAAGACCAGAGAAGGTTTGGCAAAGAAGTATATTTATTTTGGGGCTGGGAAGGTGGCTCAGTGGTAGAGTGCTTGCCTTGCATGCATGAGGCCCTGGGTTTGATTCCTCAGCACCACATAAGCAAAAAAAGCCAGAAGTGGTGCTGTGGCTCAAATGGTAGGATGCTAGCTCTGAGCTGAAGAGCTGAGGGACAGCACCCAGGCCCAGAGTTCAGGTCCCATGACCAACAACAATAACAAAAAGAAGTATATTTATTTTTGATTTATTAATTTTTTTTATGTATTGGTACTGAGGCTTGAACTTAAGAGCCGGAGTGCTGTCCCTTAGCTTTTTTGCTGAAGGCTAAAACTCTACCATGTAAGCCACACCTCCACTTATGGCCTTTGACTGGTTAATTGGAAATAAAGGTCTCCGCAAACTTTCCTGCCTGGACTGGCTTTGAACTGTAATCTTCAGATCTTGGCCTCCTGAGTAGCTAGCATTATAGGTGTGAGCCACCAATAATGTGCATAAGGTGTGTGCTCCACCAACAAATACATCTGAACCGAGAGTTAAAGAACGAGCAGAATTTGGTTTGGACATGGGGGGAACTTGTGAGGGAAATTCCAGGATCTCTCAACAAGGACTTATGTTGGCTTTCCTGCTTGTCCCTTCCCCAGCTTAGCTGACACAGTGGGAACAGATAATCCAGAGAGATTTGTCTTCAATTCTATTGACTAAAACACAGTTACTTATGTAGGGACTTTGGAGATGACGAGGCCAGGGGTCTAAAGTTGTCTTGACAGTACCTCTAAATCTATATGTCCCTCAAGGAAAGCGTTGTAAGGAACCACCATCCCCAGGCTTACCTGCACAAATGGGGCACTGTCCATGACTTGGGACACTGCTCTTTTGGGCGTGGGGTGGGTGCTCTCTTTGCCTTGCCCTTGTTGTTCTCCTCTTGCTTGGCTGAGAATTTGAGTTGGACAGAGATCTATGAGAAAAACAGGTAAATATCAGCTATTAACTAGGTACTGGAGGCTCATATCTGTAATCCTAGTTTAGTAGGAGTCTGAGACCTGGAAGGAGGCAATCAAGGCAGAAAAGGCTGTGAGACTCCATCTCCAATGCTCCAACAGCATGGCTAGAAGTATGTCTCAAGTGATAGAGCATGAGAGAAAACTATGCAAATATGAGGCCCTGTGTTCAAGTCCTGGAACGAGAAGTCATCAAGAGGCCACAGGACTGAAGGTGCCTAGAATTAGGACAAAAAGAAGTAGTATAGTTTATGCCGGAATAGCAACCTTGGCCTTTTTTTTTTTTTTTTGCCAGTACTGGGGCTTGAACTCTGGGCCTGGTGCCATCCTTTAGCTTTTTCACTCAAGGCTAGTAGTAGTGTAGCACTTGAGCCACAGCAGCACTTCCAGCTTTTTCAGAGTAGCTCATTGAAGATAAAAGAGTTGCATGGACTTCCCTGCCTGAGCTGGCTTTGAACAGAGATCCTTAGATCTCAGCCTCCTAAGTAGTTAGGACTACAGGCGTGAGCCACTCATTTTGCTTTTTAAAGTATTCTTACAATAGCATCTTTTCTTTTTCTTCTTTTTTTCTTTTTGGTGCTAGTACTTCTTCACTTAAGGTTAGTGCTCTAGCACTTGAGCCACAGTGCAGATTCCAATGTTAACCAGATATAACTGTTATGGACTTACCTGTCTGGACTGGCTTTGAACTGTGATCCTCAGATCTCAGCCTCTTGAGTAGCTAAGATTACCGATGTGAGTCACTGATACCCAGTATCTGATTTTTTGTTTGTTTTTTGTCGTGAGGCTTGAACCCTGGGCCTGCGCGCTGTCCCTCAGCTCTTCAGTTCAAGGCTAGCACTCTACCTCTTGAGCCACAGCGCCACTTCTGGCTTTTTCTGTTTATGTGGTGCTGAGGAATCGAACCCAGGGCCTCATGCATGCAAGGCAAGCACTCTATCACTGAGCCACCTTCCCAGTCCCGCATCTGTTTTTCTGATGTAGGCACTCAGAACTATAAATTTCTTGCTTACTACTTCCTTTTCTGTATCCCAAAGGGTCTGGTGATGCCAGGAACTTTTTGGTTACCCTATTTTTTCAGTGACCCTCTAATCACTCTAGTGTTTTGGCCAGTCTCCATGTGTTTAAATATTTTCTTGTTCTTTTTGTGCTGGTCCTGGGGCTTGAAGTCAGGGCTTGGTGCTGTCCTTGAACTTTTGTGCTAAAGGCTAGTGTTCTATCCCTTTGAGCCACAGTTTCATTTCTGGATTTCTGGTAGTCAATTGGAGATAAAAGTCTTACAACCTAGGCTGGCTTTTAACCGTGATCCTCAAATCTTAGGGTCTTGAGTTGCTAGGATCATAGGCATGAACCACAGGCACCTGGCATGTTTGAGTATTTTCTGTAGTATGCTTTGCTGTTGAGTTCTAGTTTAATTCCACTAGTGTTTTAGCTTTATGTCTTTAAAAATTAACTATTTGGAGTAATTTTTCCATCTTTTCACCCCATGTCCTAAGCCTATACTTGTCTTTGTCAGATGAATTTTTTTGCTGGTACAGGGGCTTCAAGCCATCTTGACTGGCTTTTTGCTCATGGCTACCATTATACTCCATGAGCAATGCTTCCTCTCTGGCTTTTTGCTGGTTATTTGGAAGTAAGAGTGTTATTTATGGAAGCTGGGCACCGGTGGCTCACACCTGTAATCCTAGCTACTAAGGAGGCTGAGATTTAGGATTGCGGTTCAAAGCCAGCCTAGGCAGGAAAGTCTGTGAGACTCTTATCTCCAATAAACCACCAGAAAACCGGAAGTAGTGCTGTGGCTCAAGTGGTAAAGTGCCAGCCTTGAGCTGAAGAGCTGAGGGACAGCCCCTAGGTCCAGAGTTCAAGCCCCACAACCGACAAAAAAAAAAAAAAAAAAAGTTATAGATTTGCCTGCTTGGACTAGCTCCAATCCATAATTCTCAGGTCTGAGCCTCCCTAGGATTATACACATGAGTCACTGGTGCCAAATTTGTTACTTGTAGGCAACACATGCTTGGGTCCTGCTTTTTAATCCCTGTTGCTATTCTGTTTTTGACCGGAGAGTAAAGACCATTAGCATTCAATGTTAATATTGAAAGGTATATCATAATTTCTGTTATTTTGTTGTTATTATAATACTTGCTTCTTTCCTGCTTCTTCTCTGATAATCTACTCACCTAGCAGACTTTATTCTTTCCTATAGTCTCCTGTCTTTGATTTACCTTTCCTGTGGGTAGGATTCATTTAAGTATCTTTTGCCATGCTATTGTCATTGAAGATCCTAGACTGTGGGCTGAGAATGTAGCTCAGTGGTAGAATGCTTGTCTCGTATGCATGAAGCCCTGGGTTCAAATCCTCAGTACCACATAAACAGAAAAAGCCGGAAGTGGCTCTGTGGCTCAAGTGGTAGAGTGCTAGTCTTGAGCACAGAGAGGCTCAAGGACAGTGCCCAGGCCCTGAGTTCAAGCTCCAGGACTGGCAAAAAAAAAAGAGACTCAGAAACCAGCGTTCTCCCTGACCTAACACCTAACTAGAGCAAGAGCAGGGAAAGATGGACAGCTAAAAAAGTGTGGTTCAGAGAGGTGATCCGGGTCTTCCCCATGAATCTACTTACCTTTGGTCCTGCACTTTCTTTCTCTTCCTCCTGGCCAGATCATTCACTGAATTTTGTTCTTTTTTTCTGTTTGTGCTGGGCTCTGTGTTAGAAATGGTCATTAAATCTTCCTCCTTAACAAAAAGCCCCCCCTTTTATTTTTGGTTGGTCATGGCACCTGAACCTGGGCACTGTCCCTCAGCTCTTCAGCTCAAGGCTAGCGCTCTACCACTTGAGCTATAGCACCACTTCTGGCTTTTTCTGCTTATGTGGTGCTGAGGAATCGAACCCAGGGCCTCGTGTATGCAAGGCAAGCACTCTACCACTAAGCCGCCTTCCCAGCCCCCCAAAAGCCTTTACATGCTATGTATGTATGTAAAGCATGTAAGGCTTTAAAAATATTTCTACTCTCTTTCTTTGATTAATTCTCTCTCGGTTTGTTTCTCCCCCAAACCCCTGGCCTGAAAATAAAACAACAACACAAAAACCCTGGGATTTGAACACAGTACTTTGCCACACTACTATCCTTCTTGTTTTTTTTTGGTCGGTCCTGAGGCTTGAACTCTGGGCCTGAGTGCTGTCCCTCACCTCTTCAGCTCAAGGCTAGCACTCTACCACTTGAGCTACAGCATCACTTCCGGTTTTCTGGTGGTTTATTGGAGATAAGAGTTTCACGGACTTTCCTGCCCAGGCTGGCTTTGAATGGCGATCCTCAGATCTCAACCTCCTGAGTAGTTAGGATTACAGGTGTGAGCCACCAGCGCCCGACTACTCCTATCCTTCTAAACCTCAAATTCGATGAGATCAATAGTAAGCATTTCATAAATGTGTTGTGAACATTGAATAGGTAAAATTGGTAGGAGTGCTTAGCAATGTCTGATGTAAAACAGAGCCACCAAATGTTTTTTCTTTCCTTTCTCCTTCTTTCTTTTTTTTTTTTTTTTCCTTTTTTGAGATAGGGTCTTGTTATGTATAGCCAGATTGGCCTTGAACTGCTTAGTTCCCAGAGTGTTTGGACGACAGGTGTGTACCACCCTTCCCAGCTCCCAAATTTAGCCTTTTCTTTATGATAAAACTATACAATTTTCCTTCCTTATTCCTCTAATAAACTTCAGTCCTACCACCCTTACTTCACTGTTTTTTGTGAAATGAGGAGGGAATTTGTATACTGTAAGAGGACTAGATAATTGGTTTAATCCCTTCACTCTAAGGAAGAAGAAATTAGGGCCAATGATGATAAGGATCCTGATTCTTGGACCAGTGCTCTTTCAATTACTATATACCATTTGCTCTCTCTTCCTCACTAACAGGTGACTTTTCTCACACATGAAGCTAGGATAAGCCATCCTTGTTTAGCACTGGTGGATGCAGGGAGGAAGGACGTTGCAGGACACAGTAAGGAAGAAATGATGGGACCTCACCTTCACTTTCTGCATGGCTGGGACCTGGTTCTGTGTGGTTGTTCTTGGGGTTTGTCATACTGACTGGAGGAGCTTTGCGAGCTGCTGAAAGCACCATGCGAGCTGAACGCCCCAGAGCCCCTGGCTGCAGTTGCTGTAGGATATCTTTAAGTTCTGAAATTTCCTTGGTATTCCTGCAGAGAAACAGAGTATGTGGTCATGCCTAGAACACAGGCTCCATTTGGTTACCCAAGTCAATACCATCTAACATGGATTTGATTACAGCCAGAGTGAGGCCTACAGTATGTGACTGATTGGAAAAACCAAAGGCTAGCTTTAGGTGCCTGTAATATGGTAGCCTTTCTTCTCTATGAGAAAGATCTGTGAAGTGGGTGGTAGATCTCCACTGCTACTTACGTCTGGGGATCTGGGAAGAATGTTCTCTGGATAGAAGGATGAGCCAGCCAGGGGCTTGGACCAGTCTCCTGAGAATCACAGGAGCCCTGAGGTGGGAAAAAAAAAAAGAGAGAGATAGAGAAATGTAGAATATCAAGATTCACCACTAGGGCACACTGCCACCTAGGAACTCAGTTTACTTATTACATGCCATAACTTGCACATTACACATTTACTGTACATGCTCTCTTTGAGTTCTCCTCTAGCTCCAAGATCTCAGGTTCTGTGATTTTGTGCCTTTAAGTCCCAAATGCTAAGGGTTTTGCCATTATCCTGAAAGACCCTAAGGATAAAAGAATCCATACTATTTGGAAAAACTGGACGATAGGTACTGATACAAACATTTGAGTCTGTTATGTGCTAACTTTTGCAAGTATCTTTCTTTTTGCTTGCCTGCCTGCCTGCCTGCCTTCCTTCCTTCCTTCCTTCTTTCCTTTCTTCCTTCCTTCCTTGCTTTCTTTCTCTCTTTCTTTCTCATGGCACTTGAACTCTGGGCCAGGGGCGGGCCTTCCTTCCTTCCTTCTTTCCTTCCTTGCTTTCTTGCTCTCTTTCTTTCTCATGGCACTTGAACTCTGGGCCAGGGGCTGTCCCTAAGCTCTTCAGTTCAAGGTGAGTGCTCTATCTCTTGAACCTCAGTGCCATTTCCGGTTTTCTGGTGGTTGAAAATATCTTTCTATATATTTTAAATGTGTACATATACCCATTCTTGCAGGTAAAAAAACTCAAGCTCTAGGGATTGAATCCAGGGCTTCACATATGCCAGGTAAGTTTTTTACAACTAAGCTACATCCCAGTCCTGTATCATTAATGTAAACAAATACTTCTACTTTAAACTACTTTGGGGGCTGGGAAGGTGGCTCAGAGGTAGAGGTCCTGGATTTGATTGCTCAGCACCACATAAGCAGAAAAAGCTGGAAGTAGCACTGTGGCTCAAGTGGTAGAGCACTAGCCTTAGGCTGAAGAGTGCAGGGACAGTGCCCAGGCCCAGAGTTCAGGCCCCATGACCGACAAAAATAAAAAACAAAAAAAACTACTTTGGGACATTTTTTGTTGGTGTTGGTCATGGGGCTTGAACTCATGGCCTTGGCACTGTTGTCCCTGAGCTTTTTTGTTCAAGGCTAGTATTCTACCACTATAAGCTACAGCTCTACTTCCGGTTTTCAGTTGTTACTTGCAGATAAGAATCTCATGAGCTTTCTTGCCTGGGCTGGCTTTGAACTGTGATCCACACATCTCAGCCTCCTGATTACAGGATTGAAGCCAGTATTATAGGCATGAGCCACTAGCGCCTAGCTTTACTTTGGGACTAAAAAACTTACTATTCCTTTCTAAATATTATTTATCAATAATTTAATTTCCAGTTTGTGAGCAATTTTGTTCACATGCAACTATAAATCTACAATGTGTGTGTGTGTGTGTGTGTGTGTGTGTGTGTGTGTGTGTGTGCGTGTGTGTGTGTGTGTGTGTGTGGAGCATGTGTGCTCCCTCACCCCCAAAAGGTGGGAGAGGATAGAAACTCACACATCCCTCTGAAGAACAATGAGCATTGTACACTGAGAATTAATTTGATACTCTAGCACAGATCTAAAGATATAAATGGTTTTGCAAGGCAGATGGGACAGCAGGACTTGAATGGAACCTTGGGCTTTCTGGTATTGAAAAGGAAGTCTGATGAAAGCAATAGCTCTCTCAAGAGCCAGAAATAATGTCTGAGTATGAGGCTACACTGGATCTCAAAAAGAACATAATGGTGAAAGAATAAATGGTCCTGAATGCAACCCAACATACAAGGCTCATTCACTTGCATCTTCCCTCTGTTAAAGAGGGAAAGAGAAGAGTTCATTCCTACCTGAAAGAAAACACAAAATCCTTAACTGGGTGCCAGTACCTCATGCTTGTAACCCTAGCTACTCAGAGGGCTGAGATCTGAGGATCCCAGTTCATAGTCAACCCAGGCAGGAAAGTCCTTGAGACTCTTATCTCCAATACCAGAAAACCAGAAGTAGAGCTGTAGCTCAAAGTGGTAGAGTGCTAGCCTTGAGCAAAAGAGCTCAGAAACATGCCCAAGCCCTGGGTTCAAGTCCCACCACTGACCAAAAAAAAAAAAAAAGAAAGAAAAGAAAAGAAAACACAAAATCCTTGCTCTACATGGTTCATACCTGGCTCAGTCCAGAGTTCCCTGAGGCCGAGGGATCCGTGACAGAGTCAGCTAAGGAGTCCAGATTGGAACGCACACGCAGGAAGGCCAGGCCAAAGGATTGGTGACGTGTGAAGGGCTGGGAGCAAGTGAGACGAAGTCGATCCCATGATTCTTCTGAGGCAGGAGCTAGGAAATCGTCTCAAGGACAAAAGAAAAAGAGCTGGATGTAGTGGCCCACACCTGTAATGTCAGCACTTGGCAGGTTGAAATAGGAGGAGGACCAAGGGTTCACAGCCAGTGTGGGTTAACTATAGCGAGATCCCGGCCAGACTAGGCTATACAACCTTTCTCAAATAACAACAACAAAAAAACCAACAACCTAACAAACTCTTCATGCCTTCAGTTCCTAATGCAACCCAACCCCCTCCAAGGATCACTCTTCCTTTATAACTTCCAAGGTAAACATTAAAAAAGCCTTACTAAACTATAAATCTCTAGAGTCCTGAAATCAGATATGTTTCTTTTGCAGTGCCCAGTTAACACATAGAAATTTTCATAAACAGAACTCAGGAAATACAATATGCTAGATAAATATAATCATCATATTCCATTACTTACATAAACATTTATCCTATACTCACGCGCATTTATACGAATAAAAATGTAATAGTGACTGGCTGTGGTGGTGCATGCCTATAATTCCAGCACTTGGGAGGCTGAGGCAGAAGGACTGTAAATTTCAAGCCATCCTGGGCTAACCCAGCATGGGCTGCATATTGAGACTCTATCTCAAAAGCCAGAATAAAAACTAAGCCAGGCATCGGTGATTCACATCTATAATCTGATCTACTCAAGAGGTAGAAATCTGCAGGGGTGCAAAAAATTAGAGGGACAACCCCATCTCAATCAATTGGTGGGTGTGGGTGTGTGCAACTGTCATGCCAGTTACATGGGAAGGATAAATAGGAGACTGCAATCTAGATGAGCCAAGGCAAAAAGTGAGCCCCTAAATCAAAAATAACAAGAGCCAAAAAAGGGTTGGAAGCATGGCTTAAGCAATAGAGCACTTGCCTAGAAAGCTAAAAACCCTAAGTTCAACATAATACCACAAAAACCAAAACCAAACCAGACCAACCTATCCCACCCAACCAAATAGTAATCAAGTATATGTTCTGTATCAGGTGTCACAAAATCAGAAAGTATAGGTAAATATAACCTGTCGTTCATAGGTATATCCAGCTATCACACATGCTCATCACACAGAACTCACACTCAGGCATACCACTTAGCAACTACCTTATTTCCCTAATAGATGTAAGTATGGCCCACACAGGCTAACCTAGTAGCATTTATAGCCTTCTCTATTCTGCATCCTCTTTTTGGGGAACATCTTCCTGTTCTGCTTTTGCCCTCTTTACCATCTTTAAACATCCGGACCCCTGAACGGTTCTTCCCCTGCTTTGAATCAGCAAGGGACATTAGCATGGTTGCAGGGAGCAGGGTGACAAAAGGTCTGTCCAGGGACCACGAAGAACGGCCTACATCAATCTGCAGGAACGCACAGCCACAGTTACCTGGGGAAATGGCAGACAGAAGGTAAGGGTGTTGGGATGATAGTACACCAGGGAACTTATGGATGACAATTCTCTACTCTCGAGCTAGTTGGAGGTCAAGAAGGTCCAGCAACATGTGGAGACACATAGAGAGCCAGCAACTGAGACAGGACTAAGACCCCAGTCCAACAAATGATGTGCAGGTTCTTCAAGGTCTTCCCAGCCTGACACCTCTCCCAGTCTGAAGAGGCTCACTGCTTTTCTGGCTTTAGGCCCTGATAAGTAAGAGGCCACCATCTTTCCTGTCCTACAAAGCTGGGACCAGTAGTCCTATCTTTAATAGTTCTCTATTTCAGAAAAGTCCAAGATCAACCTCCTCAATCCATAAACTCCTATGGACACTTCACCCTTCCAGCATCCTCCTCACTAATATTTCCAGGATATACTGACTGTACTTGTTGATATTTATCATGGCAATGACCTAAGGCTTTATTCAGATCACACAGATCAAACCAAGGCAGGTACACTAATTCAGAAAGCATTATTCTACATTATATTTAAACTATTCATACTATATTCTACATGATTAGAGACTTTGGAGCGATCTAACATCAGACCTGCCATAAGGCTCACAATTCTCTTCACACTTAGGCAGGTCTTATTCTGAATAGCCAGAATGACTTGAGACATCTGATGGGAGTATTTAGAGGTATCACTCATGCATCTTCTCTCAGAGGTTTCTGGGCCACAGAGAGCTCACTCACCAACATCAATGTAGCTAATAGGCACTGCTCTCTCCAGCTGGAGCTCTGCTTTCAGTTGCCCACTCTTATCCTGAGGACAGCTAAGCCATGGTCCCTTCTGGATGTCTGGGTTTAATAAGTTCTCCACAGGATACTTGGGATCCTAAATCAAGACAGCAGAGGAGGAAATCAGGAACCTTACTGAGCCCAAGGGAAACAAAATAAAATGAGGCCCATTAATAAGAGATTCATTCTAACCATTTTTTGATTCTTCAAGTTTTTGAAGCATCTTAACATGATGTAAAGGGACTAGACAGAAATCCACAGGCATGGAGATAGATACTGTGGATGTTAGAAGACAATGTATGTTTTAGTAGGCTAAAAAGTATATGAAAAAAACTGCTCAAGATGCTCATGCAGGTAAGGATAGTATGTATACTTTTTATTTTATTTCACTGAGACTAGAGGTTAATAGCTCTCAAAGACTGAAGGGTCTTTCTGAAATGTATGGGGAGGTTTTTGGCTTCCATGGTGACTAGGAAGCAATATATTCTCATTAGGGTCTTCGGGGCAGGGAGGCTAACTATGCCACAATGTAAATTGTATTGCTGCAAAGTGTGGACTTAGCCCCCAAATGTCAATGGCACCTCTGAGACAGGAGACGGGAAAAAGAGAGTAATGAAGGCGGAGGAAAAGTGAGAAGTCTTAAGAATCCCCACATTGGAACAGTCCTGGGTCCAGGATCTGGGATCTAGCAGTATACTGGAATTATAGAACTTTTAGGAAGAAGGCTTAGATCACAATTGATGGTGGTCATAATTTAGGCTTATAGATTAAGGTTGACTTTGAGTGCCCCGGACTGCTCTCAACTAGAGTGGCTAAAATGCTCTTCTGGGGACTCTAGTGCAGAATCTAAGCCTAGGGCTTTACCAGCTTCCTCCAAACTATAGGCAAGTCTATTTATTTCTTCCAGTCAAGGAAACAAATCATACCTGATGACTAACATACCTGAGAGGAAAATGATACTATATGGCTGATTTTCACAGGAGCCATGGCAGGCCTACTAGCTGTCCCAAGTACAAATCAAAATGCTTCCTTTCAAAATCTCTTCTGTTACCACTTTGGCTCCATGTTTTGGTCTTCACAGCCTCCAGTAGAACAAGAATTCTCAAGTTACTCCTGAAGAAGAGGAAAAAGAAGAAACTCTGATGACAGGAGTCATTTTTAGCAGTTAAGTCTGATGAACCACCATGGGCTTGGAAGTAGAGATGGGCAGGGAGCAAATCCCAATCACCTAATGAGACTCCACCAAATGTGTAACAATCGGAATGCCATCTCAAGGCCATAGGGGCAGCAAGTACACTATAATACAGTAATATATTACCATTGGATTTACACATAGATTAACTCCTGAGAGCAAGCTGCCTTAAGTCATTCAGCTTTGTCCTAGAACCTAGTACACAGAAATACATGCTCTGACTCTCTTTTTGCTTAAAGAATCTTCACAAAGTTGTTTTTCTTTTTTTTTCTTTTCTTTTTTTTTGGGTCCAGTCGTGGGGCCTGAACTCTGGGCCTGGGCGCTGTCCCTCAGCTCTTCAGCTCAAGGCTAGCGCTCTACTACTTGAGCCAGAGCGCCACTTCTGGCTTTTTTTCTTTTTGCTTATGTGGTGCTGAGGAATCGAACCCAGGGCCTCAGGCATGCAAGGCGAGCGCTCTACCACTGAGCCACCTTCCCAGCCCCACGAAGTTGTTTTTCATTAAGTTACTCTTCTATCAGAAATATCCAAGCCGAACATTGGTGGCTCGCACCTGTAACCCTAGCTACTCAGGAGGCTGAGATCTGAGGAGCACGGTTCAAAGCCAGCCCAGGCAGGAAAGTCCGTGAGGCTATTATCTCCAATAAACCACTCAGAAAACTGGAAGTGACGTTGTGACTCAAGTGGTAGAGCACTAGCCTTGAGCTGAAGAGCTCAGGTACAGTGCCCAGGCCCAGAGTTCCTCCCCATGACCAACAAAGAAATTAAGAAAAAAAAAAAGAAATATCCCAAAACTTTCTGATATATTAGAACTTTTTGCTATTTGGTAGGTGCTTAAATATTGAGTTTAGTCTCTCAAAGCCTGTTCAATATAGATTTCTATATTTCCTGCTGCATTTCCTATCACTACTATTCCTCTCATTAGAGGAATAGTATGTGTGTGTGTGTGTGTGTGTGTGTACACGCACACGCTCACGCGCACTCATACACACTGATACCAGGGCTTGAACTCAGGACTGCAAGCTCACTCAGTTTGTTTGCTCATGTTCAGGTTTTTTTGCTTGCTAATTAAAAAGTCTTTTGGACTTTTCTTTCCTTTTCTTCTTTTTACTTCTTTTTGCCTATTCTAGGGCTTGAACTCAGGGCCTCAGGCTCTTGCTTAGCTTGAGCCACATCTCTACTTTCATAGTTCTTTATTTCTCCCCTACCAATCCTGGGACTTGAACTCAGAGCCTAGGTGCTGTCCCTTCTTTTGCTAAGGGCTTAGCACTCTGCTACTTGAGCCAAAACATCACTTCAAGCCTTTTCAGTTTATGTGGTATTGAGGAATTGAACCAGGGTTTCATGCATGCTAGGCAAGCACTCTACCACTGAGCCACATTCCCAGCCCTACATTTCCACTTCCATCTCACACTTTTCTGCCCCAGCTGGCTTCAAACCAGGATCTCCAGTTCTAAGCCTCCTGAGTAGCTAAGATTACAGGCATGACCCACAGAAGCCAAAGGTGTTTTACATAATTATCATTGTTTTGTTTATTTAATCTTTTTTTTTCCCTTGACCAGTCCTGGGGCTTGAACTCAGGGCCTGGGCACTGTCCCTGAGCTTCTTGTTCAAGGTTAGTACTCTTTCACTTGAGCCACAGTGCCCCTTCCGGCTTTTTCTGTTTATATGGCACTGAGGACTCTAACCCAGGGCTTCACTCATGCTAGTCAAGCACTCTACCACTAAACCACATTTCCAGCACCATTTACTTAATCTCCCCCACCCCCCTCACACATGTCCTGAGGCTTGAACTCAGGCCTGGGTGCTGTCCCTGAGCTTTTTCCACTCAAGTGAACACTTCGGTGGTTATTTGGAGACAAGAGTCTCCTGCGACGGCTAGCTTCGAACTATGATCCTCAGATCTCAGCCTCCTAAGTAGCTAGGATTGTAGGTGTGAGCCACTAGGGCCCGGCTTATTTAATCTTTAAAAAGCTAACACGAGGCAGGTGTGGTGGCATCAGTTTATACTCTCAGCTACTGGGAAGGATGAAGATTCTTTGGGTCCACAGGTCATTCCAGTCCTATCCCCCAGAGAGATCTGGCCAGGGAGCCGTGATGAGTGCAAACAGTCACTTTCAGATGTGCATAAAACAGTGTGTAAAAAGTCAGTTATGAAGCCGGGCGGGAGCTGGGAGTCGCAGGATGTAGTACAGAAGAGTATAGGAACGTGTGGCAAAAGGCCTAGTTTGTTGGCCGCGGAGCTCCGGAGCAGCTGAAGACCTGCTTTCTTAGTGGTCACCACCCACCCCTCCTTAAGGTCTACTCAACACCACTCACCTGCGACAGCGAATCTTAGGAAGTCACCGCAGCTTCAGTCTGAGGATCACAAATTCATTCTCCCGCCAATTCCGCACCGTGAACTCCGCCTTCTGACCCCAAGTTCCACTGTCTCCCGAAGCTCAGAAATTCGTTCTGGGGCTTAAAGAATCCGCGTCTGAAAAAAACTACTGTCATCAAGGCAACAAAGAGGGAGCCACACGCAGAAAAAAAAATACACGTGGTGGGTTTTTGTGTATAGATTTCACTCACAGCTGTTCTCTCGTGGAGAGCGTGATTAAGCTTCCGGTTCAGACCCAAAGAAGCATGGGAAATGTAGTTCTTAGTTCACACGCTTCACTCCCGGCAGTCCACGTGAGGGAGCGTCGCGAAAGTTGCCCGTTTAGGGACTCTTCCTTTTCGCTTTTCAAACGGCACAATTGGCGAAATACTTACACTCACAGTGATAAAAGCACAATTTCTCATTTTCCATTCCCTGCTGAGGTTTGGAAACGCAAGACAAACGTCCCTCTTTAATCCGTAAACGAGTAGCAAGTGGAGGGTCTCTTGGTCCCTGACAGGTCTCCGCCTGCCTCGAAGCTCCGCCCCTAGGCCGGCCTCCGCACTACCGATTGGCTAGCATCGCCAGAGCGGCGGAAGCAGCTGGCTAGCACGGGGGGGACTGGGCAAGTGGGGGGGGGGGGTCAGCGGGCAAGATGGCGGCAGTGGTGGAGGTGGAGGTTGGAGGAGGTGCTGCTGCGGAACGGGAGCTGGATGAGGTAAGGGGGATTGGGAGACTGAGAAAAGAGGGACTCCACTTGAAAGTGAAGAGAGGCGACGTGAGGCCTTGGAGGAGGGGGCTCCCCAGGAGAGACCGGAGGGGGCCCAGAGCGGGTAGGGCGTGCTGCCTGGGAGGCGGGTGCGCGGTGCGGGGAAGCTGCGGTTCTCCTGCCCCGGGGACCCTGCCTGCGGCGGGCCTGGGGTCGAAGGCTGGCCGCCGCCTCTAGGGTGGAAGAAAGGCGGGCGTGTGAGGCTTTTGAGGCCGTCGTCTGGGAGTCGCGGGGAGGGACGGCAGGACGGCGGGCGGCCGCGGCGTCGGAGGGGCGTGGTGGGAGAGGACCCTCAGCCTGGCGCGGGCGGTGGGCACGCAGACCCGGAAGCGGGGCTGCTTTCCTAGCGTAAGGGCTTGGACTTCTTTTCGGATAGGAATCGTTTCGTTATGTAGCCCTGCATTCTACGACGTGGTACCTAATGCATGCTCTGTAAAGTTTGGGTCAACGAATGAAAGGACCGATGCATGAATGGAATACTTGTGGGCCAGACTTTCCCCATTCACCCATTGAGCAGACGTTTAAAGATCACTTTTGTGCCACGGCCTGGGCTAGGTGCTAAGGATACACCCACTTTCCTTGTAGAGCCTGCAGCGTAATGGTTCGTGGGAGACAGACAAGGCTACGAGTCATTGCATTAGAGGAATGCACTGTGTGGCTTGGAGAGTGGGACACCTATTCTAAGAAACGCTTCCTATAGTTGTTGGATCCTAAAGGATTAATGAAAATCTCGCTCTTAACCTCTCTTCCTGCCTCCTTCCCTCCCTCTCTCTCTCTCTACTTCCTTGAAGGTGAACTTGAGAGTGGATGTCCCCTTTACCTAAGAGGCACGTAAAGATTGGTGGTTGTGTGTGTGTGTGTGTGTGTGTGGTGTGTGTGTGCACGCGCCAGTCCTGGGGCTTGAACTCAGGGCTTGGGCCCTGGGCACCGTCCCTGAGCTTCTTTTGCTCAAGTCTAGCATTTTACCACTTGAGCCACAGCACCACTTCTGGCTTTTTCAAGGCTGAGAAGCAGAGATGATGAGAAAGGAATGAAAAAGTCTGAGGCCAAAGGGACCGTGATAGTTAGAGTTGCTTATGGTCTTGCATGCAGATAGGAATAGCATCGAGGAATAGAAGGTGAAGATTGTCAGAGATGGGACCCGTGAAATCTCGGAGGGGGTTCAGAATTTTAGAGACACCTCCCCACTATTCCTATGTTGGGGGGAAAAGTGTAGGATTGATGTTGAGGCTCAGAAAGGATGTGGACTTAGGAAGTAAAGACTGTTGCTTGGTGGTGGGTTAATGTGTGAGTGTTTATCTGCTTGGGATGAGGCTGAGAAATTGGCAGGTGGTTAGAGAATGTAGAAACTAGGCAATGAAGTCCTCTACCTCCCAACCACTAGAGACTGGAGGTGTTTGAATACCTGTTGGTTGGTGAGGTGGTATGATTGTATAAATTACTTCCATTGACCCTTCTTGCATTAAGTCTCTATTTATAATTGGCTGTCTTTTAATGAAATATATTTGAAAACACCTTAAGAAGAGTAAATTCTATATTGCAGTTACTATTTATGGTTTGTTAGTCATGAGCTCTCTCTTTTTTTTGAGGGGGGGGGGTACAGTCATGGGGCCTGAACTCTGGGCCTGGGTGCTGTCCCTCAGCTCTTCAGCTCAAGGCTAGCACTCTACCACTTGAGCCACAGTGCCACTTCTGGCTTTTTTCTTTTTGCTTATGTGGTGCTGAGGAATCGAACCCAGGGCCTCATGCATGCAAGGCAAGCACTCTACCACTGAACTACCTTCCCAGCCCCATACATGATTTTTGCTTCTTAGTTTTTCTTGTTTGACGGACTCGAGTTACTTTTTTTTTTGGGTCCGGTAGTGGGGCCTGAACTCTGGGCCTGGGCACTGTCCCTCAGCTCTTCAGCTCAAGGCTAGCGCTCTACCACTTGAGCCACAGCGCCACTTCCGGCTTTTTTCTTTTTGCTTATGTGGTGCTGAGGAGTCGAACCCAGGGCCTCAGGCATGCAAGGCAAGCGCTCTACCACTGATCCACCTTCCCAGCCCCCTCGAGTTACTTTTTGTATAATACACTTTCCAGAATGTTATTGCTATAGATCAACTTAATATGAAACCACTAGTACTCATCCTAGAAACTTTAACTTCTTTTATTCTTGGAGAAAGAATATAATCTCTTGTCTAGAAATTCAATGTGAATTGGTTCTGTCCTTTTCTTTGTGTTTTTAAGAAGGTAACTCTGAGAAGCAAAAACGGTTGTCTTCTTCAAGCTCTAGAAAGAAGAGAAATCTGGCATGTCAGACCTTAATTGTTTTTTGTGGGTTTTTTGTTGTTGTTGTTTTGCTTTTGGTTGGTCCTAGGGCTTAAACTCAGGGCCTGGGTGCTGTCCCTGAGCATTTTTGCTCAAGGCTAGTGCTCTACCATTTTGAGCCACAGCGTCACTTCTGGTTTTCTGGTGGTTAATTGGAGGTAAGAGTCTCATGAACTTTTCTGCCCTGGTTGGCTTTGAACCACAATCCTCAGCTCTCAACCTCCTGAGTAGCTAGAATTACAGGTATGAACTACTGGCACCTGGCCAGACCTTAGATTGTGTAGGTTTCTACTAATGTCTCCTTCACCATTTTGTGCAACCTTCCCTAGTAGAAGGCAAAGTACAGTGCACTATTAAATATGCAATTATGGGGACCTAATGCAGTTGTCATGTGTTAGAAATTCAGGATTTTTAGCAATTTGCAATCCAGTGAGGAGACATGTAAATAACCCATTACAGTACAACTAGAAAATTGCTATAATAAAAATGTGTAACAAGTGCAGTGGGGCGCAAGAGACAGGCACCAGAGTGTGCTAGAAGTCAGTAGAATGTCAGTAGATGGAAATGTGCTAAAAAAAAATTAAATGGGTGAGTTCCCAAGAAAGCTGTGATTGACATGTGACATCAGACTCGTCTTCCTGTTGCACTTGCTGCTTGATTAATAGATTCTACCGTGGAGCCCAGATTATAAAAGTGATGAGTAGCATGGTAGAGATGTATTTTTGGTATACTTCTCTTCTTTGGAAAAAATATACAAGCTGTGATTTATTCCTTAGGATACTGTTTTCCAAAATCAGATGTCATTAGCATAATATATAGTCTCAAATAGTAATTTGTCCCTCCCCCTCTCTTTCTTCCTACCCCTCTCTCTTTTTTTGGTCTGGTTCCATTACTATTTTCTGTAGAGGCTGAGAGGTAATTTAGGCTGTGCCAATAGCTGCTCTTGCTTCAAAGAAATGAATAAAAAAGAGGGTTTAGGATAAAGCTAGTTATAAGGCTCTTACCTTAAGTCAGTTGATGTCTATTCCCTACAGTAGCTCATTTATTACTAACAGCAGCCCTGTAAGCCAGATGGTGTTAACCCTATTTTGTAAATGAGGAGGCTGAGGCTAGAAAAGTTTAGGAACTTTCCTAGGATTCAAGTTTGTGAGTGAAATTTTTGGCCCAAGTCTGCTCTGCTGTACTGTGGCCCTTGGTTCCATTTCCCCTCTATTTTTGCTCTAAGGTTTATTAGGTAATTTAAAATTGTCTGGCCCTTTAGCCTGGTACTGATGGCTCATACCTGTAATCTCAGCTACTCAGGAGGCTAAGATCTGAGGACTACAGTTTGAAGTCAGCCCAGACAGGAAAGTCAATGAGAATCATATCTCCAATTAATCACCTAAAAGCTGGAAGTAGAGCTGTTGTTAAGTGGTAGAGCATTAACCTTGAGCAAACAAACAAACAAAAACCAGTACCCATGCCCTGAGTTTAAGCCTTAGGACTGGTGTGTGTGTGTGTGTGTGTGTGTGTGTGTGTGTGTGTGTGTGTGTGTGTGTGTGTGTGTGTGTGTGTGTGTGTGTGTGTGTGTGTGTGTGTGTGTGTGTGTGTGTGTGTGTGTGTGTGTGTGTGCGCCTAATTATTTTGTATGTAAAAACTAACACAGGATATTTGGTGAGTGGCAGCGATTCAGGAGAACATTTTGAAGTTTGCATTCTTGAGATATGCTTTATTAGTATTTCCTATGATTGAGGAACTGAGATTCCAAGGACTGGAGATATGCTAAGGGTTTTCAGCTAAGTGTTGTTACATAGATTTACATCCATATTTCCAGAACATGTCTATTTTCTCTTAGTTTAAAGATTTCATAAACTGCAGACTCAATCTTACCAAATAAACTGCTTTTTTCTTTATATTCAAAAGTCCCATTTCCATAATATGAAGTAGCTGTTAGGAGAAGATCATACAGTATGTTTTCTGAGAGGATCAATATGGGGATTATTCAAAAGAGTAGTATTTTTTTTGTCTATACAAGCCCTTTAATTTACTGCTAACTTGATTTTGCTGGTCCTTTGTTCATGAGGAATGTTTAGTCCTGTGGTACTTAGGGATGTGAGAGATCTACTTAGATCAGCCAGGTATTTAGCA